TGTTACTTTGTGAGGGTGAAAAGGGTAACTATTGCATTGTTCTGTACACCTGAAACTAACAATAAAAAATAAATAAATAAATAAATAAATAAAACCAAGGGGGGATAGTAAAGAGGGTAAAGGGGGTCAAATATATGGTGTTGGAAGGAGAACTGACTCTGGTTGGTGAACACACAATGTGATATATGAATGATGTATTACAGAATTATACAGATGACAAAAAAAAATTATAGTAAAATATACATAACAAAATTTGCCATTTTAACTATATTTATGTGTATATCAGTGGCATTAAGTACATTTACAATGTTGTGCATCCATCACCACTATCCGTTTCCAGAAGTTTTCTTCATGCCAAACAGAAACTCTACGTATTAAACTTCTGGTATACTCCTCCACCCAGCCCCTAGTAACCTCTATTCTACTTTCTGCCTCTATTAATTTGCCTACTTTAGATACCTTATATAATTGTTTTTGTCTTTAAGCCAGATTGGAAGGTGAAGAGGATAGTGTGTGAAAACACTTCTTGAGCAATTTGACTCTGAATAGGAAATAGATGGTAGTGATACGAGCGAGTCCCCTCACTATAAAAACCTCCTTACTATAAAAACTTTGTCTCCTTTTCCCTCGTGTCTTTTTCAAATCAGTTTCTTTATCATAAATACTAGATTATTTTTAACCTGAATCATAGAAATCTCCTCCCTCCTGCTTTAATTACCCTAAAGCTTGTGATTTATGCTTGTTGACTATAGTTATTGTAGTGCAGCTTTCTTTCCTGGCTTAGCTCCCTGGTAAACAGTAACTGAATGACTGGTTAAGCCAGAAAAAAGGCCACAGGCTCTATGAAGCTGAACAATTTTTTCATCAAGCAGTCACCCTGCATCAAGGGCGTTGAATCCTGCTTCTTGGGCTAACACTTTTAACGTTATTAACTAAAATCTCTTTTTCCTCATCTAGGGGCTGTTAGGATACAAGTGATGCCCCACCAAGACTTCCAGTACATCCCGACCACAGAGGTCATCTGAGATCAGATAGGGTGAGAGTCCCTTGAATCCTCAGTAGGTAGGGACAACGGCCACATTCAGCAGGAAGCAGATAGAGAAGAGCTCTCCTGTCCCTAAACTTCCCATAGAGATTTATGGGAATCCCGTCTTTCAAGGGGGACATAAGGCAGGCAGAAACAGGAATTGGGTCTCTGAGACACCTGGATTCATCAGGTAACATTCCTGCACATCCAACCTGGCCTATGGGAAATAACTGCCCAAAAGACCTCTCCTCTCCACCAAAACTTGCCATTGTTTACCATAACCATTAGCCATTATCAATCACTTAGCAAATCAATGTTTGATCAGGTATCAAACAGCCCCACAATTAGAGAGGAGCAGCCCATTCTAGAAGAGAAAGAAATAAAAACTCCAAGTCCTCGCCAGTCAGTGCCTTTTGAGCCACTCCTTTGTGCTCGGGCCTGCTCCTTTCTCTTTGGAGTGTACCTTCACTT